AAGGGAGCACTGAAAAGGGGGTTAGGGGAAATGACAAGGGAGGGAGGGAAGGAACAGTTGCTGGGACTCTGTAAGAGGACTTCTGAGGCAGAGTCATCCGGCAGCAGCCCCGGGTTTTTGCACACTCTCTGAAGGTCAAGGAGAGAGAAAATGCATCTTGGCTAAAGCTGCTGGGCTTGCTTTTGAGCCAGGGACCCTGTTAGGTGCCAATAGAAGCCCTTGCTTTCCGAGGCCTCAGAGGTGCAAAGCCCGCAACAATTATTCTTGCCCCTTTGCTCATCTCCGTGTGAGGAAGCACCCTGTTCCCTTCACTTCTCACCGCGACCAGTTTCCCTTTGTGCTGCCAGATGGCTCTAATAAAACTCCTGGGCAGATAATAAACATTTAAAGACCACATTAAACACTCACAGCTTAGAATTTACATTAGATCGCACTGATTGAGAAATACGAAATAGTGAGAAAGCTGGTATGACTTGGGCGTGGGGTGGGGGTGGGGGTGAGGGATGGTATTGAAATAACAGGCATTCTCCTTCAAGATCGGGGTCCAAATATAATACCTCGTGACCATTCCCTGAGGCTGCTGTCTGAATCCCTGTAGGAGGAAGGGCTTGGTTGGTGATCTGCCCGGTCTACTCTGCACCTAGCGCTCCATAGGCTACTCCATCTTGATCCTTGAGAAACATGGCTTTTCCCTAGCCCCACCCACCACAGGTCCATCAGTGGGGAGTTGAGAAGCTGTGACTGGGGTGGGGGTGGTGAGAGTCGTTCCAGCTGGGTGGGTTAGCAAAAGAGAGAGAGGAGGGCAGAGGGGAGCTGTGTGTCAGGAAAGTCACACGGATCTCTGAGTCAAGATGTAGAGCTGGGATCCTCTGGGGTCAAAGCTCTGGAATGCATTGGGGTCAACGTTTTGCTACACCGCTCCAAGGAAAGAAAGCCTCTGAAGGTTGAATAAAGACTTGTTCAAGAGCACGGAATCTATAGAGTCTAAAATGGACCCAAATCAATACAGTGTTTCCTTGAAAGCCTATAAATAGTTTCCAGACATCATTTCTTCTCCTACAATCTTGGGAAACTTCCGGTAGCTCTCCTCGATGACATTGCTAGCTCCCCCACCGCCATTTGCACACATCCCAAACAGTGATGAGCCCACAGACCAGTGAGAGCCAGGTGTGTGTTCTGCAGTGAACATGTTTTCTGCCTCTGTCTGTGCCGTCTGCAGGATGGGTTATCGTTAAGCTTTAAAGAAATGGCTAAACTCTACATCCTCTAAATATTGGTGGAAAAAGAACAGTGCTTTGAGTTTAGGTAAGATGTAGATAGAACCCGATGAGATTAGAGCATAGGTTAAACCTCCAGTTGGAGAGGCTGGCCTATTAAAAAAAAACAAACCCTTAGTTCTTGCCTTTGGGAACTCCGCTCTGAGATCTAGAAGCATTACCATTTCTGGGCCAAGGGATACATTGGTCCTGCCTCCTCTCTTGAGATGGCGTTCTGGTGGGGCAGTGGTTTATGTAGGTTGGCTGAAAGGTTGGTGGTTTGGACCCACTAATCTCCTTCGATAAACACTTAGAGCCTTGGAAGCCCAGGGAACATATGCTCTATCCTATATGAGTTGGGATTGACCTCTTGGCAATGGGATTGGTTTGGTTTGATCTCACTGTCTTAGGATCAAACCCGGACAAGAATGAAACCTTTCCTTTTTTGTTTTCCTTCCTTGACTGAGCCCATGGAGGGAGCTGCACAGGGCCGGGGTTCATGTCGACGCTTCTGCAAGATGAGAAACAGTTGCTGCACACGCTGCTTACACGCGCGTGCCTCTTTCTCATAGGTTTGAACAGATTTATCTCCTGCCATCTGGGAATTCTTTTTCTGGAGGTCGCATCCGCCCAAATGGAGGGATATTTTGAATATGGGAAGCAGTGAGAGAAAGGTGTGTCAGGGACAATGGATACAAAGCCTCTGACACACACACATGGCGTGCCCAGACACTTGAGAGAACTCAGTCTCCCCTAACAAACTCGCTGTCATTGACTTATAGCAACCCTACAGGACAGAGTAGAACTGACCCTGTGGGTCCCTGAGACTGAAAGTCCCTCCAGAAGTAGAAAGCCTCATCTTTCTCTCTCAGAGCAGCTGGCGGTTTCGAACTGCTCACCTTGTGGTTTGTTGTGCAACACATAACCTATTACACCACCAGCACTCCTACCCATCCCAATACACATGGGAAACCAAATGCACTATCATGGAGTAGATCTCTACCCACAGAAACCCCATCGATTGAGAAGAACTGCTCCCTAGGGTGTCTGAAGTGGTGAATTTTTATCTCCTTAGGAGCAGTGGGGGGACTTGAACTACTGACCTGTGCTTAGCAGTCCAATATTTAACCCAGTACATCACCAAGGCTCCTTAAGTGCACATTAAACTCACTGCCATTGAGTAAATTGTGACTCATAGTGACTCTTTATAGGATTTCTGAGGCTGAAAATCTTTACAGGAACAGATAGTCTCCTCTTTCTTCTGTGGAGTGGCTGGTGGATTTGAACCCCAGACCATGTGGTTCATAGCTCAGTACGTATCTGACTGCACCAGTGGGGCTCCTTAGGAGATATGAAATCTCTTGGGTTTGTAGAGTACAGTACAGAATCTTGAAATTAACCCATGGAGTCTAGACACCAATTCTATCTCTCAACTTTAATTTTAACCTGGTTCTTTAATCCTTAGAATTCACCTTTCATGGCTGGATGGACCATTTGGATGTTTCTCCTTGGCCAGGACTTTGATGTTTGTGTTCCGGTTATATGAACACAACTTAGGAGCAGCTGTCTTGGCTTAGAGGGACTTACTAGCAGTTCACTTCCTTCCAATTCTTGTGACCAGAGGCTGGGAGCTGCTAATCTACACCCAGCTCCTCACCTCATATAGTTACTAAAGGGAGAGGAAACATTAGGAATATTCCTCAAGTTGCCTAAAGTTGCGTAGAATGAATTTCCTATGATATCATTGAGAACCGTATTCATAGGCGAAAACAAGAGTATAGGCGTGTTTTTAATACAATCATGATCTGATCCAGGGATATATCGGTCCTGTCTCCTCTCTTGAGATGGAGTCCTGGCGGGACAGTGGTCTATGAGGCTTGACCAAAGTTGACCAGGGTTTTCATTTCCTTTGGTTTTCTTTTCATTTTGCCCCAAACCTAACTGCATTCACCGCCCTTTGCTCTCTGGATAAGAACAAATGTGGAGACAACTTACTGTAAACTGGATTTGGCAACCACCCATGATGTAGTCCAAGAAAGAATGCATCTTGTGAATCTGTAGAGGAGGAGAAAAGGCAACCAGGTCAGGGACAGGATGGTCTGTGTTTCCCCATAGATTTCCCCACACATAGGCGGCCTGTGCTTTGGAGGCAGGCGGCTAAAATCAGAGGAAGGAGTGGAGAGAGATCTGTGGGGTAAGGATGGGCCCACTGATTGTGTTCCATGATGGAGAGAGCCACGTCAGGGGCCATGCGGGCTTCACGTCTCCATCTTTGACTCCCCTCTTGTCCCATTTTAGATTTCTGCATAGACAAAACCTCTCTCTACAGACAAAAAACTGTATTCTCAAGAGTCTGCACTGTTTTTAAACTAAGAAAGTCTCACATTTGACTTTTTAAAAAAATGTTTGCCATGAACTTGGATCTCATTAAAGACTCCAAGTCCACTTCAGTTTTATTTTTCTTCCTTTTTTTATCCGCTCAGACCCAATATTGAGATCAGAGCCATTATTAGTAGTATTTTTTATCTATCTATTTTTTTCATGTTAAGCCTCCATTTTTTGTCCCTCCCTTCCCCATCCCTCCTCTCTCCCCATTCCTACTTCCATTCCTGGCCTCTTGGAAGTAGTCAAAGTCTTCTCTATTGGTGTATAGACACCATTTCTTCTTTGTTTATCTTTATAACAGGGTGATATGAAAAGTTTATATTTGTAAGATTGATTGAATTTGTTAAGCATAATGTTCTCCAGTTTTGTCTGTGTCTGCAGGTGTTTAAGAGACTTATCATCGTTTTTAATTGATGCATAGAATTCCATAGTATGAATGTACCAGAGCTTGTTTATCTATTCCGTTCTAGCTGGGGTTTGGGGCTGTTTCCATCTGTTTGCTCACATTTGGTTTCTGTGCTTCCCCAAGCCCAAGTCTACATCTGGCAATATTTGTAATACTACAAGTAATCAAGACTAGCAATGTTCACATCGCAATTTTCTGAGGCCTTGACGGAGGCCTTCAGGTGCTGCTCTGAGCAGAGGTGACAATGTCCAATTAGCTATACCTTCTCTCTGGCTGTGAACCAAATAAGAATATATATAGACCACTTACTGTGTGTCAGGCCCTCAACACCCCTTATCTGAGTTAACTCTTAGAAAAACCTGATGAGGGGGAACTGGTTCTGTTGGGCCCTACTTTACAGATGAGGAAACTGAGGTTAAGATGGCCTCACTTAGAGGAGTCTCAGGATTAGGATGAGTTTTTAAAAAATTCATGCTGCTCATTCAGACATAGTCAATCCTCTGCCATTGGCAGATGTGATTTAGTAGCATCAGTACGTTATTAGTATGTGGGGGTTTCTGCAAAGCTGGAACCACTCTGAGAGCAGTTCCTAAGCCCTTTACTTTTATTTCTATGGTACTCTTTCAGCATGTATGAGGTCCCACTTATATGGCATCAAACACGGTGACAGGCAAATCATAGGGGTTCTTTAAATGCAATCTGCCCCCTTTAGGGAGGTCCTTCAGGTGCTGCTCTGAGCAGAGGTGAGTGTGTAGTGACAAGTACTGCCCTGTCTTTGGGACCAGGACTGTCCTATGGAGGGGACAGATAGTGGCACTGGGTCAGCAGAGCTCTAAGACCACCTATGCTCATATTTCTCATTCTATGCATATCAGTACATTGACTTTCTAATTTTAGCTTTTCAAAAGATCACACCTTCTTCACAGTTGTTCTCTCTCATTATACAGTCTGAATTCTTCCCCAGAGACAGCCCTGCCTTCAAATTCCTGGAAGGGGGAAGCTGCATACATACCTTACACTGGTTCAGAATCACAGTGCCTGAGTTCTTGTAATTCTTCTTTTTCGCTTTGTACTTAGGGTTGATGCACTCCCACTGCACCTGAAACAAGAGGAGTCACAGGGAGCCTGCTTGGGAGAAGGTGAATCATTCAATAAGGGCAAGCTAGCAGGCACTGCTGTGGTCTGACTAACGGGATGATAAATCATCTCAAGGCTAGGCTTACTGTTCCTGTAAAGATCGACAGCCTGGGGAATGTACTGGGGTCACGATGAGTCAGAATCAACTCAATGGCAGGGAGGTTGTTTGTAAAATTTTAAAGTGGTCAACCTTGCATTTGGAAGGTAATGATGGAGAAGAGGTCAGAGTTCAGACTACAGAGGTAGACTTCCTGTTTGAACCCCTCCACTTCCCAGATGTTTGACTGAGGGAAACTGACTTCATTCGTCTCTGCTTTGATGTCTTCTCTGTACGTGGAGCTCTCATATTGTATCAATCTCATAGTGTGGCTGCAAGGAGTAAATCATGAATACGTGTAATGCACTTAGAATGGTCCCGGCACCGACCTGTTCACGGCTGACAGGGTCCAGTCAGGCAGCAGAGGGGAAAGAGCTGCAGACACAGTTGAGAGAAGCCCAACTGCTGAGTCTCAGACGTGGGAACTGACGAAAAGGGAGGACAATTGCGGAATGTTGAGTGCTGGCTCCAGGAAGTTAAGACAGGGTGCAGGGTAGCAACGATGAAACATACAACTTTCCTCTAGTTCTTAAATGCTTCCTCTCCCCGACTATCATGATCCCAAATTTACCTTACAAACCCGGCTAGACCAGAGGATGTACACTGGTGCAGATAGGAACGGGAAACACAGGGAATCCAGGGCAGATGATCCCTCAGGACCAGTGCTGAGAGTGGTGATACCGGGAGGGTGGAGTAGAAAGGGGGAACTGATTACAAGGATCTACTTTCATTTTGCCCCAAACCTAACTGCATTCACCGCCCTTTGCTCTCTGGATAAGAACAAATGTGGAGACAACTTACTGTAAACTGGATTTGGCAACCACCCATGATGTAGTCCAAGAAAGAATGCATCTTGTGAATCTGTAGAGGAGGAGAAAAGGCAACCAGGTCAGGGACAGGATGGTCTGTGTTTCCCCATAGATTTCCCCACACATAGGCGGCCTGTGCTTTGGAGGCAGGCGGCTAAAATCAGAGGAAGGAGTGGAGAGAGATCTGTGGGGTAAGGATGGGCCCACTGATTGTGTTCCATGATGGAGAGAGCCACGTCAGGGGCCATGCGGGCTTCACGTCTCCATCTTTGACTCCCCTCTTGTCCCATTTTAGATTTCTGCATAGACAAAACCTCTCTCTACAGACAAAAAACTGTATTCTCAAGAGTCTGCACTGTTTTTAAACTAAGAAAGTCTCACATTTGACTTT